CCGCCTCGGAGTGCCAACTTGTGCGATGCTTGTGTACGACGGTTCTCCAGTCAAAAGCACCAGGGATAAAAGAAAAGAGCAGTAATTTTGAAAGACATTAATTGATCGCTGTTAAAATATACTTTGAAGTTACACATGTCGGGAGCGGTCAATGAATTACATAATTTATAACTACGGGCTAGGGTTTTCAACATATATTTGTCATACATTGCCCAACAAAAGTCCAATACATTAGAAACAACAAATGATAGACAATACATATAAAACTAAACATAATACTGACTTTTCCATAATTCCCTAAAATTTTAGGTGTCCATTTTTCCATATTCTTATTTTTTTTTTATAATTCCAATTTACAAAATATGCATGTTCCCTCACACCTTGCGTTTTTTTCCATTTTTGATTTCCCAATTCTTAAAAATTAAGCCTTTTTATCCATTCCATAAACTGTTTTCAGATGTTCATGGTGTTGGGTGGGCCGCAAAAAATCATGTTTGTCAAAGAGTACATAGAAACCCGAGGATAAATAAAATTATCTTATAAGTATCAAAAAGTAAGAAAGTGCAAAAAAAAAAAAAAAAATCTCGCCTCAAGGCATCTTATGCTCTTGAGTGAGGGCTACGGATATTTAAGTGATTACGACATTAAAACACATTGCAATGAATGCCATACAATTTGAAATTGAAAGTTATCACAACTTTATCTCGTATATAAGCATGCATGCATCTTGAAAGACAATATCTCGATGGAAGTTGTCAGTACAAAAAAGTTTTTGCAAGTTCATGCGAGAAAACCATTCTCAAACATGCTTTAAGATGCACTGAACGGGTATTCCTGAGAGCTAATGTTATATATGCATAATACCTGCGTTTTGAATAGCAAGAACTGTTTAAAAATAAGTGTCCGCAATTTGACGACAAGGTGTCCGTATTTTAACTCCCCCTGTCCGCATTTACGCGACTCGGCATTTCCGCGGGTTTAAAGAGTTTGCAATCTACCAATCAAGAGAGGAGACCTGAAAACGCGGGAAATAGTCCATTTGATACCCCTCTATCTTCTCCTGTCAAATGCAACCACCAGTATGTCCGCAATTGGCCTCGACGGTATCCAAACTTCCGGATTTGAAAAAGTGTCCGCAATTAGGCGAATTTCCCCATCTATCTTTTGATTGTAAGTAGCTTCTGTCCAAGTATGGTAAAAATCCAGGATAGTTTATGAATCTAATAAATGTTTTAAAAACTTAAACTGCAGACTGTATATAATGTTAACTGGAAGAAAAACTAAGTCCATTTATAAGTAAAATATGGAAAAAATGGAACAAAATTTTAACAAAATTTCCTTCTAGATACTAGTTTTTAATCATAAACAAGCTACTGTCCAAGTTTGGTACAAATCCAGGATAGTTTAAGTTGTTAAAATTTAAAAAAACTTTAACCACAGAGTGAATGTAATGTAAACTGGCAGAAAAACTAAGTCCATTTATAAGTTAAATACGGATAAACTGGATTTTTTTTACAAAATTTACTTCTGGATACTATCTTATGATCATAAACAAGCTTCTGTCCAAGTTTGGTACAAATCCAGGATAGTTTAAGACAGTTGTTAAAATTTTAAAAACTTTAACCACAGACTGAATGTAATGTTAACTGGAAGAAAAACTAAGTCCATTAATAAGTAAAATACGGAAAAAATGGATTTTTTTTTTTACAAAATTTACTTTTGAATATTATCTTATGATCATAAACAAGCTTCTGTCCAAGTTTGGGAGAAATCCAGGATAGTTTAAGAAAGTTATTAAAATTTCAAAAACTTTAACCACAGAGTGAATATTTGTGGACGCCGCCGCCGACGACACCAACAATGCCGACGGAATGTAGGATCGCTATGTCTCCCTTTTTCGACAAAAGTAGAAGGCTCGACAAAAATGATAAATAAGACAAGATCTACAAATAAGTCAACATGGCAAAAATCATCACTCAACACCTTATTGGAATTTTTGCCCTCTAATGATGATTATTTCCATTTTTGTCGAGCCTTCGACTTTTGTCAAAAAAGCGAGACATAGGGATCCTACATTCCGTCGGCGTCGTCGGAGGCGTCCACAAATATTCACTCTGTGGTTAAAGTTTTTGAAATTTTAATAACTTTCTTAAACTATCCTGGATTTCTACCAAACTTGGACAGAAGCTTGTTTATGTTCATAAGATAATATTCAAAAGTAAATTTTGTAAAAAAAGAATCCATTTTTTCCGTATTTTACTTATAAATGGACTTAGTTTTTCTGCCAGTTAACATTACATTCACTCTGTGGTTAAAGTTTTTGAAATTTTAAGAACTTTCTTAAACTAACCTGGATTTGTATCAAACTTGGACAGAAGCTTGTTTATGATCATAAGATAGTATCCAGAAGTAAATTTTGTAAAAATAAAATTCCTGTTTTTCCGTATTTTACTTGTAAATGGACTTAGTTTTTCTGCCGGGAAACATTACATTCACTCTGTGGTTTAAGTTTTTAAAATTTTGATAACTTTCTTAAACTAACCTGGATTTGTACCAAACTTGGACAGAAGCTTGTTTATGATCATAAGATAGTATCTAGAAGTAAATTTGTTAAAAAAAAATTTTCATTTTTTCTGTATTTTACTTATAAATAGACTTAGTTTTTCTGCCAGGAAACAATACATTCACTCTGTGGTTAAAGTTTTTAAAATTTTAATAACTTTCTTATACTATCCTGGATTTGTACCAAACTTGGACAGAAGCTTGTTTATGATCAAAAGCTAGTATCTAGAAGGAAATTTTGTTAAAATTTTGTACCTGGTTATCTGTATTTTACTTATAAATGGACTTAGTTTTTCGTCCAGTTAACATTAAATACAGTCTGCAGTTAAAGTTGTTAAATAAAATTGAGAATGGAAATGGGGAATGTGTCAAAGAGACAACAACCCGACCATAGAGCAGACAACAGCTGAAGACCACCAACGGGTCTTCAATGCAACATTTATTAGATTCATAAACTATCCTGGATTTATACCAAACTTTGACAGAAGCTTCATACAATCAAAAGATAGTATCTAAAGGAATATTTTTATTGATTTTTTTCCTCATTTTTGTTGAGCCTGCGATTAACAGCAAAAGTAGGCGAGACACTGGGTTCTGCGGAACCCTTACGAATTTCTTGCATTTTTGCCTATTATCTTGAAAAATGTAATCGATAGATAGAAACTTTTTAAATAGCAAAAAATTAAGAGTAGGAAAATATCTACATTATGTATATGGCCAAAATTGTCAGTCAACTCTTCATATAAGTTATTGCCTTTTAATGAAAATTTACTAAAAAAAATTATTAGCAAGACAAGATCAATAAGAAAGAGATTTTAGTCATGAGTTATATTCTTGACTACAGTGTTTGAGAGTGGCCATAGTTTGAAGATGCACATATGTCCAGGTGAGCAACACAGACTCTTTGGAGCCTCTAGTTTATTATTATTATCTTATATTTATTTTGAAACTAATCTAGAAGTTGAAACATATCCATTTGATAAGGAAAATGAAGTCTGTTTGATATGGATAATGAAATCAACATTAAATACCTTTATTGAAAGAGTAATAGTTTTCATCATTGGACAACCAAAGCATTGACAGATAACAAAGAATTCTCTAGGAATATATTTCAAACTTTTTTTTTCTCCATTATTGTAGATATTAGATAACGAATTCTTTTTCTGTTCTCATAAGTTTTGGTTCAGACATGTTGTTCACACAAGTCACGGTTTAGACAGGTTTTCTGTTCACCATGTTCACACAGATTGTGGTTTAGACAGGTTTTTCTCTTCACCATGTTCACACAGATTGTGGTTTAGACAGGTTTTCTCCTCACCATGTTCACACAGATTGTGGTAAAGACAGGTTTTCTCTTCACCATGTTCACACCATTGTGGTTTAGACAGTTTTTCTCTTCACCATGTTAACGCTATTGTGGTTTAGACAGGTTTTCTCTTCACCATGTTCACACCATTGTGGTTTAGACAGGTTTTCTATTCACCATGTTCACAGAAGTTGTGGTTTAGACAGGTTTTCTGTTCACCATCTTCACACCATTGTGGTTTAGACAGGTTTTCTATTCACCATGTTCACAGAAGTTGTGGTTTAGACAGGTTGTTCACACAAGTCACGGTTTAGATAGGTTTTCTGATTATCTTCACACCATTGTGGTTTAGACAGGTTTTTTGTTCACCATGTTCACAGAAGTTGTGGTTTAGACATTTTTTGTTCAACATGTTCACATAAGTTTAGGTTTAGACAGGTTTTCTGTGCACCATGTTCACAGAAGTTGTGGTTTAGACAGGTTTTCTGTTCACACAAGGTTAATTTGAATTTTTTTTACTGATATAACTATACACTCAATAATTTAACTGCAAGTGAAATATCTAAAGGACTGGTTGAAATGTGAAAAGTATAGAAGGAAAAAAAATATTGAAATATTTTTTCAATGCATCATATATAGAAAGTTTTTAACACAGTTTTCCAAGGGAAATCCAGTTATTGACTTTGCGTTGAACAAATTGTGGGCAAATGGGTTGGTAGTTTGGGATGGCGTCAGCAGTTTCTGTGCTTTAACTTAGGAACCATTCAACTGATGCTTTTTCAATTTCAATATGTTGTTACTGATCACAAAATGGAGGGCAAAGTCCATTTTGACAACTTTCACTTTTGTCGTTTATATCAATTGGAAAATGACCCTTTAAGTCATTTCAGTGCAAAAACTTGAGAACTATACAACAAATGCTTTTCTTTAAATTTGTTGTTACTGATGACAAAATGGAGGTTGCATTTTGCTGAATTTTTACTATTGAGGTTCAGGAGTTATGGCTTTTCATTGCTTTAACAATGACACTAATAAATTTAATAAAATCAAAATAAAATCATCTTGTTTATGTTAAAAGAAATGTTTGTTCATGTACGTATATGTACAATTTTATGTGGTTTTTATCTTATAGAAAGAACAGAAAAACTTCCAATGAATTCCATAAAAGCTGTCCACAGCGAAGCCATTGTTGGTCATGAAGGATATCATATATTGGTAAGAGTAAGAAATTGATGTCTTAAAATAAAGTTTTATTGATTAAAGTTAAATATTTTGTAAAAGATGATTATAGTGACTAAAACAACCTTAGTCTAACATAAAAATACTAGAAACATAGTAAAAGATTTGACTTCCAGACTTTCACAGGACCTTTACAATTTTTACATGTTTTCTGTGTAGAATGGGTAATTAACTGATATTATTACATTGATTGCAATGAATTACTGTGATTTCCAAGTGAAATAAAAACCAATAATTTCACTGGTGAAATAAACTCGATAATTTCACTCCTCTGACGTGTTGTCAGGATGTTGTTGATGAAGTTGCATCAAAGCAAATTGTGAATGCGTAGAAAAAGATATAGTTCCTTGCATTTTCTATTTTATTTCCATTAAAAATGCCAATGTCAATGCAATAAAAAGAATAACTAATCAATTCAAATATCGAAAAATATTCAACTCCTGACCGAACAAAGCTAATCATTAACTTCATGAATTAATGTGTTGTTTGGTAGCTTGTTGAATATTTTTCTTTATTTGAATTCTTCAATTAGTTATTCTATAACTATTTCAGGTCCAGTAGATATATCTTTTAGCAAATTTGGTCCAGAGATGGGCCAATGTTTGTTATGACTGAGTTAAAAAAGTACAAAATAAGTTTTTGTAACTTCATTTGCCACAAATTTGTCATTTGGTAGAAGCCAGATGAAATCTTATTCCAGATTTTTTTATGTAAATTAACTTAAAGAACTTGTCTGTCACCATAATTAATAAGATTATGAATAAGAAGAGAAAAGTGGTATAAATGAGACAGCAATGTGGCACTTCAATCCTTTTATGGTAGGGAGGAGCAGCTGAGACATCCAGTACTCCACACTTTTTATGTATTTTGGAATAGCAAACACACATACCCTATCATATATTTCTGGAAAAAAATTTACCAATAGCAATCAAGATTATGCTATTTCAAGGAGAGATAATAGATTTGAAAAATATGTAATGCATTTAGGACTGTTTAAATGGCATCTGTGGAAAAAAAAATCAACATTTGATTGACTTAAGATACTTATGATTCAATCAGCAACCTTTTATATTTCATCTCAATTTCTAACCTTATCATTCAACTGTTCATTGTGAGGTGATATAAAATGAAGTTTTACTGAATCAATCTCTTAAGCTGAATAATATAAAAATCAGTTAATAATGTTTAATAAAATAAGAAGATGTGGTATAATTGCCAATGAGACAACTCTCCACCAGAGACCAAATGACATAAAGACATAGACTGGATGTGGCAGGGTATGTGTACATCTCTACAAAAAAAAAGACTTTATAAAGTACAGATCTGAGAGTACTCCCAGTTACTGACAGCTAGTTCAAAGCCAATAACAACTAATAAAAAAATCATGTATCTAAGACTAAAGTATCAATCAGTACACATCCAACATCCAATGGATTTAGTGTAAAGACGTCATTAACAGTCAGAGAAAAACATGATCAACCTTGTGCAATGCCAAATTACAGGTATCGACAGATTGTAGAACCGTGAATGTGCATATGTATGTGTATATAACAATAATATTAGTTTATGTGTTCCCTATTGGAATATTAGTTTGGTTTTAATTCACAGATTAAGATTCTTTATTTTTATTTTTCTTAGGGTATACAGTTGGGTCCGACAGAAGCCTCAAATTACTGGATTTACTGGGTCCCTGCCCAGTATGTTGATGCTATAAAAGACACTATTCTCGGAAAATGGCAGTTGTTCTGACACAGTATTGTGATAGGATTGGCATTACTTTCCATATATCATGGATGGCAGTTAAACTGTTATCCTGTGGTATTCTAAGATTGTGATAAAAACTATGACGTTCTTTGAATTTAATTCAAAATAAAACGTTTACCAAGCTATGTATAAGCTTTTGATTTTATGTCTAAAGATGTTTCAGAAGTTATCTTGGTTTTTTTTTTTTTTTTTTTGCCTCCAATGAATGTCACAGAATTTTAGATACAGGAATGTTAATTTCCTGCAGTAGCTTGGCCTTATTTTCGTGGTTCCAAGACAGCATAAAAAAACACGGCAAATGTCATGATTTTCAATAGTTTTAAGAAAGGAAAACAAATACTGTAAATTCAGAAATTATTGCGATGTTTTTATTATTGCGAAAAATGCGACTGGGTTACAATCGCAATAATTTAAACTCGCATTTTGAAATTTTTTATATAAATTAAACCGAATTTTTTCTCAATATCGCAAACATTAAAATCGCATTTTAGTCTAAAATTACAAAATCGCAATAATTTCTGAATTTACAGTACGTTTGGTTTTCTAATAGATGTCCAACAGACAAGGTTTTGTTTGACCTAGACCTCAGTTTATGGTTCAACTTTAAGTTTTTGTGATTAGGTCATTTTCTCTGATACTATAAATAATAAGTCAACTATATTTAGTATATGGAATGACATTTAGAGGTACATGTCTGTCTGGCAGGGTTCATCTGACTTTGACCTCTTTTCGTGGTTCATTGCTCAACCTTAAGTCTTCTTGATTAGGTCATTTTCTCAGAGACTTTAATTAAATATTCAACAGTATTTGATCTATTGAATGATTGGTAGGTGTACATGTCCCTCTGGCATGATTTGCACATTTTTGTCTGACACAATTCATATTGACCTCATTTACACTGTTCGTTGATCAACGTTAAGTTTTCATGGTCAAATTAGTTTCTCTGCTACTCTAAATAATAAATCACTAATATGTTGTCTAAAGAATGATTAAAGGAGATCATGTCCATCTAACAGGGTTTATCTTACCATTACCTTATTTTCACAGTTCATTGGTCAGTGTTCAGTTTGAATGACTAGGTCAGTTCTTAGATACTATCAGTGATAGGTCAACTATTTATACCCCCGCATTAAAGAAGTGGGGGTATACTGTTTTACCTCTGTCTCCATCCGTCTGTTCGTCCCATGAATATTTTTCGTCACATTTTTCTCAGGAACTGCGTCATAAGGATTTCTGAAATTTGGTTTCAGGGTTTATATAAGTCAGCTATACTGTGTGATGCGTTTTCAGATTCATCACTCAACAACTTCCTGTTCACCGTCAAGTATTTGGGCGGGGGTATCATCAGTGAGCAGTAGCTCGCAGTTTCACTTGTTGATTTAGGGAATGATTGTAAGATGTACATATCTCTGTCTGCTGGATGACTGGATTGATGGGTTGGTGTATAACTTCATGTGGTAAATATTCCATGCATATCATGACATGAACATACATGTACTAATGTTACAGGAATATATGAACCCTGTTTTGTACTAGACTGACGTGCAGAGCTGGATTTTCAACATGCTTGTTCACACATGGGTTTCTGCTGGCAGTTGCTGTTACTGCATTTTGTGAAAATTAATAAAAATTATAGTGAAAAAAATTATTATTTGCAAAAAAGCTATAGCAAAAGAATTATAATGGTTAGACGTTGTCCATCTTGTTTAACTTTTGAGGCTTATTATATTTTTTTTCACTAATCAGCAGTCATCTATTAACGACTGCAAAATTTTTGCAGCCGAATAATGGCTGTTGTCGTTGTCCAAAAACATTTTGTTTCTAGACAATACCTTTGAATGAAGAACAGCAATAAAAGCACAGTTCCTTTGCTTTTTAACCGGATTTTCGAAGGAAATATCAGTTATTAAAATGGTAATATACGGTGGGCGGCTCTGGCGGCTGCCAAACAGCGTCCGCACAATAACATGAAAACGCTTTAACAAATTTTTTTCAAATTTAAATATGTTGTTTCCTGGGACTTAATGAAGGTCTCTATTAATTTTCAAGATTTTAGTGTATCTCCTTTGTGAGTTATCTTCATTTTTAATATCCAAAAGTAGAATTTTAAAATATTTTACTGTTGTTATCTTTTTATGATTTGTCTTATCTCAGAATAAAAATTGGAGTGACAGATTTATTTGAAAATTATCTATTTCCTAAGTGGTAATGATTATAAGCTATATCATTAGACATTTTGAAGATTATTACATGATTAATTATGTTAGAGTACTATGTTAAACAACCATAGTTCTGTTCAATTAGATATAATAAATATTTCAGCATATGCTAATGATTTATTTTCATTATTAATTAGATCTTTGAAATATTTTAGCATGTGATAATCATTGGAGTGACAGATTTATTTGAAAATTTACTGTTTTCTGATTGAAATATAGGAGAAGTCCATTGGGGTAACCCCTACCCCCCTTTTTTTTAATAACTTGTAAACGATCAAGATTCCTACCCAGAAACCATATATATTCTTGTATGGGACAATATATCAAATCAAATGAAATATAGGGGAAGTCCACGGGGGTAAACCCTACCCCCTTCTTTTTGAAAACTTGTAAACGGTTGAGATCCCCACCCCTAAACCATATATGTACTTGTATGGGACAATAAATTAAAGCAAATTAAATTTAGGGGAAGTCCCCTGGGGTAACCCCTACTCTCCTTTTTTTGAAAACTTGTAAATGGTCAAGATCCCCACGGCGAAACCATATATATTCTTGTATGTTACAATAAAACAAATGAAATGAAATAAAAGGTGAGTTCCTTGGGGTCATTCCCACCTTCTTCTTGTTTAAGAACTAGTCAATGGTTGAGATCCCCGCCCCTAAACCATATATATCCTTGTATGGGTCAAAAAAACAAATCATGAAATAAAGGGCAGGTCCCCTGGGAAAATTAATCAGTTTGTGTGTGTTATATTTGAACATAAATTAAATATATATAGGGTTCTTTAAGTGCTGAATCTAAACTTGTTTTTAATAAGTTAATAATAATTTTTAATATGAGATAAAGTTTTTGACATTGATAGATAAGTTGCAGATCTGTATAATTTTTTGACACATGAAAGAAACAATATTAGCAACTATTAATTAAATTTGATTATAATATGGAAATAGATATAACATGATATCTGATTTTTAGAGAAGTATTTTCTGGTTTTTTATTGGTTTATGTAAATAAGTTTGAGTTATTTGTTTTGAAAATTGATGTGTTTAATTGATAGATATAAAATCATATCTAATTTTAGAGATTTATGAGTGGTTAAGTCATATCTAATTTTAGAGAATTATTTTGGTGTTTTGTTACTGGTTCATGGAAATGAATTTGAGTTATTGGCGAAATATCATTGGTAAATTGTTTGAAAGTTTTTTGGTAGGCTGTGGTCTGTCTGTCTGTCAGTCTCTCTGTCTGTTTGTCCTTCAGTTTGGCAAATCAGTTTGCCACACTTTTATGCCTGTGCTGTAGTTGAGGGGGCATTTAGTTTTACCCTTGTTACATTATTAATTATGTTAGAGTACTATGTTAAACAACCATAGTTCTGTTCAATTAGATATTATAAATATTTCAGCATATGATAATGATTTATTTTCATTATTAATTAGATCTTTGAAATATTTTAGCATATGATAATCATTGGAGTGACAGATTTATTTGAAAATTTTCTGTTTTCTGATAAGATCTGTAGGACTGTATATATACAGTTTGAAACTTACTAGTATTACTGTATAAATGAAGTTTGGAATTTACTGTTTCTTTTTTAGACATTTTGTAGATAATTAAGTGTCCGTTAATCATATATATTCCTACCCCTACCCCCTTCAATTTGATAATGTGCTTTTATCTTGTAAACGGTCGAGATTCCTACTCCTAAACCATATATATTCTTGTATGGGACAATAAAACAAATCAAATGAAATATTGTGATATTTTCCTTTGAACAGAAATTGTTAATTATATGCATTAAGTTTGATTACGCTAAGCCTTTATAGATAATTTTCACCTGTTTATAAGTCCTGTAATCAGTTTACTAAACATATGGTTAATGTCTTATCTTGAGTGACAGATTTATTTGAAAAATTTCTGTTTTCTAAGTGTTGATGATTGAAAGCTATATAGTAGTAAATATAGTTAGAAATTTGCTGTTCATTATTAGACATTTTGAAGATAATTACAGATAAGTTTTATAGATTTTTAAAAGACATTGTATTAATGATAAATAAAATTTTTGATTTTTTTTCTTTACTTTGGTAAATTGTAAATTGTTTGTTATTCTGTAAAAACTAATTTTCTGAATGCTATATATATTTTTTGGATTAGGTGAACTCCTTTTAAAACTTAGCTTAGATTGTCTATTAATAAACATATATTTAGATTTCTGATTTTGGGCCCAGTTTTCAAGTTGGTCCAAAATTCAACTGTGTTTGATTTCAACAGAAATTGAATATATATAGGGTTCTTTGAAATGCTGAATCTAAACCTGTATTTATTTTCATTATTAGTTAGATAATACCACATGGAGGTACTAAGGGTCCTAAATTAAACTTTTGTTTAATTAACAATTGAATTCTTGGGTTCTTTGATATGCTGATTTTAACAATGTTTGAGTGTTAAATCATATCTAATTTAAGAGAACTTAGTCATCACTGGTTGTTGTTATTATACTATTGATTATAATTTGAAAAATTACATCATATCTAATTTTATAGAACTTAGTCATCACTTTATTCATTATAATCATATCTATTTATCAAGTTTGAGTTATTTCCCAGAAAATATATGGATAAAATTAAATTGTGTTTCATTTCAACTTAAATTAAATATATATAGGGTTTCTTTCAAATGCCGAATCTAAACCTGTATTTAAATATTAGATTTTTGGGCCCAGTTTTCAAGTTGGTCCAAATCAGGGTCCAAAATTAAACTTTGTTTGATTCACAAAAATTGAATTTATGTGGTTCCTTGAAATGCTGAATCTTACCATGTATTGAGAGATTTTGGATTGTGAGCTCCTTTATCAAATTGGTCTACATTGTGGTCCAAAGGGTCCTAAATTAAACTTTTGTTTGATTTC